CTGATACATGCACCCCAGCATGAACTCTCGGCTTTGTTTGGATTGTCCTTTCTCTTAAATTGCTGTGCAAACTCGTGATCCGTGAGACTTAATGTGATTTCTCCTAAGCATTTGACATGACCAGGAGGCGGGGTAGGGTTGGGGATGAGTGTAGGAGGGGGTTATTCAGTGACTGACTAGATTACAGAGGTGAACTGCCTTTGGTCTGGGTTTATACTGAGACCTCGGATCACCAGACTGATACTTCCTCAGAAGTCTGCAGACGTACTGGAGCATTCGTGTGCGTGTCCCTGAGCTGGTCCTGTGGGACTGGTTTCTGCTCTGTATGAATGATAAATAGTGAGGGCGGAGTAGAATGATAGCTGATGACAATGTTAGAACTTCCATCCCCAAAGCATTTGGGATTCAGTTGACATCAGTGTTACTGCAGGAATTCCAAAGAATGTAACATCTTGGTAAAGAAATTAGAGTTTGGGCTGGGCCCTAATGGATGGTAGGATTTGAGAGGAGGGGAGGGTGTGTGTGTGTGTCAGATTTAGCAAGTGAAAATATGTTCCATGTAACATTTGAGACATATACTAAATGTTATTCATCATTTATCTGAAACTAAAATTTAATTGGCCAATCCATTATTTTATCCAACAACCCTAAATAGAAAGGTTTTTTTTAGTGGAAGGACTTTATTTGCAGGTGAGTGTTCAGGGAGTAGTGAGTAGGCAGTGTGGTGGTTTGAGAGGGTTCAGGCAGAAGTGGAGGAGTGAGGTGGAAGGATGGGAGAGATGGGAGGAGGAGGGATGAGGTGGACTGGGATTAAGGGCACTAGGTGCCAGCTCATGGCTAATGCACCCTTGGGCAGCTGCTCTGTGCACAAATCTGTAAGCACACTGTGTAGTCCATACTTTGTATTCCACATGATGACAGTAAGATTATTCCTCCAGAGCATTTTATCTCGGAACAAAGAAACAGGACTGATGGAGGGAAAGAGAATACAAAAATATGGTCCACCTTCAGAGTTTATCCAAAAGGAGAGAATTGTGTAAAGAATCAGTCAGTCTTATACCCCAGGTACTTTGCATAGTAGGGCAGATCATATGCCTTTCTTGAGTTCTATGTGTTTTTCTGTGCACTGCCATTTTATTATTTATTTATTTATTTATTTATTTATTTATTTATTTATAGCGACAGTTCAGATGTATGTTTTTCTGAAGCTGATTAGTACCTGGCCATGAACTTTGACAGATCTTCAAGGGTGGCTGGACTTAGGACCTCAGATAATATCTCAGGGTTCCCCAGTGCTCAGAAGCTCTGGCAGGCATTCTCTGACGCCATCCCAGCTTCCCTGGCAGAGAGAAGGAAAGCACGCACCTTCCTGTAGCCCCTGGAGAAGATTCCTAGGAGAGCTCCTTTCCTGAATAAGCCCAGGCTGTTTAGGCTGCGGCCCTCTGCTGGCCCATGGCTGTGGTGGGGAGTCCAGCCTTGCTCAAACTACGTGGAATGAGGAGCTCTGTGCCAAGGAAAGAAAGGCAGGCTGAGCAGTGACAAGAGTGGCTATTGATGACAGCTGGTATCGCAAATCAACTCTTTGCACTGTTACTGTAATCTGTTTTGCCTGTGCTGTGAAGGGCATTGATTACAAAGTGGGAGGATTCTTTCCATCCTTTACACCGATCTGATCTACTTGGACACGTGGGCACCCTGGATCCCATTTTCTAGATCAAGGGCTGCTATTCCTCCCTCTCTCCTCTCCACTCTCCGCTCTCTCCTCTCCCACACCACACACACACACACACACACACACACACACACGGGCAAGAAACATAAAAAAGGGGAGGGGGAGTAGTTAATTCGTTGGGTTGTCAATCTTTAAAACAAAAACAAAAACAAAACAAATCTATGGTTTCATAAAATTAAGGACATCTTAAAACAAAGGGTGAGGGGGTTCTTCTGAAAAAGGATGACTGCATTTAAGAAATCAAATGTCATGAAGAAATTACTGTCATCTAGATTAGTCTTTTCCTGAGTGTGTTCACGGGTGCAGGTCTGGTGGAGCTCACCTGCTGTGCTTATTGTGTGGCCCGTCAGCAGCAGAGCACAGGCTGGAGCCCAGGTCTTCTGTTCACAGGTTGGCCTTCAGGTCGTATATTAATAAAATGCCAGGATTTCAATGAAAACTCCAGTTCTTTTTATCGAGAGCATTTGTATGACATCTTGGTTCCTATTTGTGAACCACAAGTGACATTGGTCATTGATGTCATCAAAGTTGAGTTCCTTACAGTAAACTTCTCTTAAAGCCGGTTGGTGTTTGGGAGGCTCCATGTTGTAAATCTTCCCCCTCCCTCCCAAATATGCTGAGCACTTGCTGTGTGCCAAACACTGCCATAGGCACTGGGGATGGAACCACAAACAAGACTGAAGTCCCTGCCCAGTAAAGTCTGCATTCTAGTGAGGTAGACAGACTGCAAATGGAGAAAAAATGTAATTCAATTCATGTAAGTGCCAGGAAGGAATTTTTCAAATGATTTTGATCTGTGGATTAACTTCTTGGATAGGAATGAAGTCTCACCCATTTCATACCAAACCCCATTATCTTATAAGCTTTCCTGTGTTGGGAAACTTAGCTGCAAGCAGCATGACTGGTTGGAAAGGTGAAGCAGGTGGCTCCAGGCAGAATGGGGTTAAGAAAAACGGGGTTCTTCAGGGGCCCATTTTTATCCAGCACCCGAAACAGCCTGGAGAATTCAGGTGTGATCTAGGCTGGTGTGGCCTAAGACTAATGGACAGCAGACAGGATTGAGTACAACAGAGGGAGTAGGGGATAAATATGTCAGCTACTAGTGTGCATGCTTCCCCTTACACTGCACTGATTGCCGATGCGTTAGCTCAGGTCCCCCCCCCAATCACAGTAGGTTGGTTTCTGTTGTCCCCACTTTACAGGTGAGGAAATCCAGTCTTAGTAGAGAATAAAACGACTTACCCAAGGCCAGAAGGCCAGTAAGCAGTGGAGTGAGGAAGTCTGACTACAGAGCCTGTTTGCTTAGTCTTCAGTGTAATCCAGGATACATTGGGCCAATAGTGTCAGGGCCCCAACCAGTTCAAATGGGTTCTAGACAAAAGCAGGGCCCACTAGATAAGCCAAGACAGCAGCCAACAGAATAAACAGGGACACTCGGAGAGGCAGGCCCATGGGTGCCCAGGGTTGTTTTACTGGGCCAAGAACAGGAAACCAGACCAGTTCCAGATCCCAGCTGCTTTGGGTGGAAGCTGTTAAAATCTCCCTTGCCTTGGCCAGGACTTTCTTCCAGGCTTGAGGCCACCCAGAGCTGGGGGGGAGGGTGAGGTGGGAGTGGGTGTTTGCCACCAGTGTGTGCCTTGTTGTGCACAGTCTTTCCTCTTAGCTGCCAGTAAACCAGAGTTATGGTCAGAAGAGGGGATTTCTGTCTCTACCCCTTGCTTCTTGTGTGGTCATTGGGCACCTTAATGACTCTGAGCCCCCAGTTCTCAAACCTGTAAAATGGGGGTAATACCAACTTCACAGGATGAGGGGTGAGCTTAAAGCAGACAATATGCCATCTGTAGAGAGCCTAGCCTGTGTGTGACACTTGGAAATGGTAGTGGGGTTGATATGATCAACACCAAAACTAACTTTGAAAATAGCCCCATTTGAGGGAGGGGATCCGTTTTTGTCTGTCACTTTGTTTGGTGGAGGGGGGTACCCAGGCAGGTGTTCATGGAGAGGGGATTCTGAAAGTAAGCAGGTTGTGTCCAGGGGTTCATGGAGTGCATGCCTCTTGGTTGCTAAGTGACATGCTGCTCTGTGGAGAAGAAACCCGCCATTTCACTGAGGCCAGACGTGATGTGAGCCTCTAGTTGTGCCAGACAGGCCTTCCAGGCTGAGTTCCGCAGCACCCGGGCTCAGCAGAGGAGCCTGAGAGGCCCGTGAGGCTGGGCATCGGAGGTGGTGGCGGTCTCTGTCCCCATCGTTCTGGCGGTGGAGAGGGTCCCCAGGAGAACACAGGAACTGCTGTAGCTGCCGGCCCGTCTGCCGAGCCGCTGTTCTGGGTGTCCTGGCCACATGAGTTAACTTTTCCATTTGGAAGGGTTATTGGTGCAGTTGGCAGCCACTTGCCTGGTAAACGATATGGTGGGGCCTCCATAAACCCAGACCCATGAAACGAATAAGTCAGCACATTGAAAATACAGCGTGGAAGTGACTCAAGCCTGAAGGAATCCACTTCTGAAAGTGCTGCCATCCCTTCCTGGAATATTTTGGTGGAAATTGATGTTTGGGTTGGGAAGAAGAGGCCAGTGGCTTGGTGACTAGTAGGATCATACGTCACATTCAGCAGCATTTGCCCCAAGATTCATCCCCGCCCCCAAGACCTCGGGGCCCCCCTTCTCACTGAGATGGTCCAAGGGAGGTCAACCTGGTACAGTAACCCCTCTAGAGCTCTGGTCTGCGGGAGCTGGGGTGGCCCTGCCTTTGCAGCAGGTAAGGTTGACTCCACAAATCAACCTGGTAATGCTTGGCCAGGGGCCTGGAAAGTATTGGAAACTGCACCCAGCATGGGAGCCTGTGGGAGTTCGCCGCCATGGAGGGTTACTCTTGTCAGAGCTCTGTGGACTCCTGTGTATTTAAAATGTTTACCTTCTTCTCGGACTTCAGCTTGTACTTTGCCCACCCGAGACCAATATGAGCAAATACATACTTAACTGTACCAGACCACCCTGGCGACCAGGTAATTAAAGCACGCAGATTTGGAAGGAAGGCTGTATTGGAAATCACGCTCCACTGTAATTCAAGAACAGGTTTCTTTATAGAGGGACACAGTTGGTGTCAGACACATGTGGAAAAGAAAAGAGCAGGCCCATGATTCTGGCAGGATACCAAGGGCCAGATGTTAAATATGCTGACCGTGATCTGGCTGTAGTTGCCGTTAGCCAGCCTGGATCTGATGTGTTATTTTAACCCCTGTTTCTGCCTTTTCCTTTCTCTCTGCCAGGTTCCCAGTCTATGTGAAGATCTCCTGTCTTCTGTTGACCAGCCACTGAAAATCGCCAGAGACAAAGTGGTGGGAAAGGATTACCTTTTGTGTGACTACAACAGAGACGGGGACTCCTATAGGTGAGCTCCTGCCCTTAGTCATGCCAGGCCTCACCCTGGGCAGTCAGTGCCACATGGCAGCACCTGGACTACTAAACTTTAACAGGCAGCAGCCCTCCGACCTTGTTTACATTTGTCCTTCCGTTAGTCCTTCCTCCCTCTCTTCCTCCTTTCTTCCTTGCAGTCAGCCAGCTGTTGTGGAGTGCCTTCAGTCAGGATCGGAGATGCAGCATGAACAAAAGGCCTCTGCCCTGGTGGAGCTCATAGTCTAAGGGGAAAGGATGTGAGCAGTGTCATTATAGTTCAGTCCTGCAAAAGGCAGGGTACAAGATGTGGGTGTGATGGGGCTCCTGAGCACAGGGAGGGCGTATGTGCTTAAGGGACATTTGAAAGTCGCTTTGTCAAACCAATACGCAACTCTCCTTTCTCTTTTCCATCACCATGCTGAGGGCAATAAATAACGTGACAGAAGCCCCTACTCTGGGTAATCACTGGTCTAGCACCAAAGATGCATCCAGCAGCTGATTATTGTATGATATGGTTTATGCAGTCACTGCCAAGCTTATTTAGGGTTTGAGGATAGCATAGAAGAGACCATGGTTGAGTCCAAGAGGGCTTTCTGAAGGAGGTGATTGAGCTAGGTTTTTCGCAGTTTATCTTATTTCTGTTGATTTCAGAGAGGAAGGGAGAGGGTGAGATAGATAGAAACATCAATGATGAGAGAGAATCATTGATTGGCTGCCTCTGCACACCCCACACTGGGGATCGAACCCACAACGCAATCAAGTGCCCTTAGCTGGAATTGAACCTGGGACCCTTCAATCCGCAATCCAATGCTCTATCCACTGAGCCAAACCAGCTTGAGCTGAGATTTTTAAGGATGTCTCAGATCCCTTTTTAGCTTCAAATGGAAGTTAGGTAGAGAATGTATTTTGCCCTAATCCAAGCCAGACCAGAGACTAGAGTTGAGGGTGAATAGCAGTCTACTTGTAAAAGCTGAGCCAGCAGAGTATGCACATGGATGGGATATGAAGGGCAGTTGCAGGGCTTTGGCCTGAGCAGTTGGAAGGTGGGGTCACTGTTTAGCGAGACGGAGAAGACTCTGGGAGTTGCTGGGTTGGGGGCATTTTAAGCTCCAGCTCCCTTTAATGAATGTGGAGATGTCCAGTAGACTGTCCATAGCCTCGGCGCCTGCGTGGAGAGGGAGGTGCAGGTGGGAGTGGCCAGCACAGAGTGATGAAGCATCAATTGTGAGCATAGGCCCAGGACCAGTCCTCACTGGGAACCTCCTAGGAGAGGGGGGACCAGCCCTTTGAGAGAAAGACCCTTGAGGGTCTAAGGACAAGCAGCCTCACCAGGCAGGGTTCAAAGGCTTCCTGGGAGAGGTGAACCTTGAACTGAGTCATGCTTAGTCGAGGTCATTATGTTTCCTTTTTCCACCTGAAAACTCCAGCTTGCTGTGTGAGGCAGCTATTCCCCAGCAGCCGGTGGAAGGCTGGGATCACGGCCACATCCATGCCAAGGCCGGGATACTCGGGGGACTTGGTATCTGCCTCTCCTCCAGGTCATCCTGCCAGCTCCAAACTTCGTTCCTCAGGCACCCCAGAGGAGCCCGGGTGTCAGAGCCCAGGACTTCTCTTCCCTTTTCCCTCTTTTTGATATAAAACTTCAAGGCCTTCTGATTTTCCCCACACATTTCCATCCTGTTTGATGGTTTGCTTAAATAAGATCCTTATGGCGTGGCCGTTGCCAGCAGCACTGTTTGAAACCTGTTAGCTGAAACAAAAAGCATTCTCTGAGGGAAATGAAAGGCCTGACTTTTGAAATCTAAGTGTTCCTGTCCATCTGTCTTTTTTCAAATGGCCTCCGTTTAAGCTCTTAAATGTGTTCTGAGTGCCCCTTCCACACAGAATATTCTGGATAATGTTATGATTTTCCCCCCAGCTACAATTACCCCGGCTCCAGGACTAACAGCTTGAAATGCTGTCGTCTGTGAGCCAGGAGAAATGTGAGTTACAGGCTTCTTGAAAATTCCAGGCTCCCAGTCTGCAAGAAAGATGGGCTCTTGTGTCTAATCAGGTCGCCTTTAAATGAAAGCCAGTTGGGCGCGTCTTTCAGGCCCACAAGACGGCGGCCGCTTCACTGGGGAAGCGCAGGGCTGAAGGCCAGAGCCTGAGTGTGCTGAGGAGACTCAGAGCACCTGTAGGGGGAGGGGGCTCAGATTCTCGCTCTTGGATGCTTTTCCACACCCACTGGCGACTGGAACTATTAAGCCTAGTTTTCAAATCGGGAGGTGACTGCACCCTCCAGCTGCACCTTGTCTCTGGGTCTGCGGAGAGGCCTCAGCAGGAAATGCAGAAAGTCGCTCCATCTCTGGTTAGCAGGAGCACAGCGGACAGGGAGCCTGGGGGTCATTTCTTCCCCACCTCACGCTGTACGTCACTAATCCTTACTGCACAGGACTCGGTGCTAGATGTGGTGTGAGGGCAAGCCGCACAGGCTCACTACTCAACATTCTCTTGCAGCCTGGGGCGAGGGAGGGGTAGACTGTGGTAAGAATCGACATCTGTGTGGCAGTGAGGGGACAGGGCAGGGAGAATGGTTACCTCTGCTTTGGAGAGTGATATATAAGAATTGATTTATTCTTTGAACAGCACTTTTTAAAAATTAGCGTGTGGTTGAGTGCCAGGCACTGTTCTAGGTGCTGATCACATGATGGAGAACAAGACAAAAGATTCGCCCTGTTGGAGTTCAGGTTCTGGGGTTGGCTAGCCAAATTCAAATTACTTCAAATTAAATTAATGAAAATTTCAGTTCCTCAAGTTGCATTGGCCACATGTACCAGTAGCCACACACACTCATGGCTGCCATCTTGGACAGCATAGACGGAGAACATTTCTGTTGCAATGGGAAATCCTGTTGAGCAGTACTGTTTTGAGGGATGAACCAGAAACGTCTGGCACCCTTGATCAAGAAGGAAGAGGTCCTCCTTGCTTGCTGACGTAGGATGCTGGTGGGGTGCCAGTTATCAAGAAGAGAGAGATTTGTGCCCAGGATTCGGTAAAACGGGTTCAAGAGACTGTGATACATTTTTCCTTAACATCTATCCCAAATTGAAAGGTTCTTTTGCACCCTCAGTGATGTGAAGTGTGTTGTCAGCAGGAGAGACGGACGTATCAGGATGTAAAGGGCTTTGTCCACATTTCCCATTGTCTCCTTCCCATTCTGCTCACCTTCTTTCTCTCCTCCTGCAAACCCCCAGCTCTCTGAACTCCACCTGCAGGATTTAATGAGTAGACACCTCCCTTATAACCCCCTCCCAGTACTCTGTGTGATGAAATGCTTTCCTGATGTGGCAAATAATGTCTTTTAAAATGCGGCAAGCCTTTGGGCTGGCAAAGCAGAGACTGGTTCTCATTTAGCAGTCCTTGTGTGTGTATGGCCCTCGGCGTTGGGAAAGCTGCTCTCTGTCCCCGCGGAGAACCTGATGGCTTTCTTATGTGTAACCCGCGTCTCCATGGGCCTAGTCTCTTACCCACTTCCCTAAAGCAGCTCCTCTTCATCCGTAACTCTGAAAGGAGGTCTTTGGAGTGAAAGTTCCCCCCGAGCTGCAGCAGGTCAGGGAAGAGGCAGGGCATCTCTCTTGGTCAGTACAGTGGTGAAAACGGGGACATTAGAAAGGGAGTAAAAAAGAAAGCACAGTTGTTGAACACTCACTCTATAGCAGGCTCTAGCCCAGGCATTTCAGATTGTATTTTCTCTCTTGCTCCTCACAGCAGCCCACGGGGAGCACGTGGTAGCTTCATTTTACACAGGTATCCTGCCACTTGCCAGAAGTACACACCTGGTGAGAGGTGGACCATGGGCTCATACCCAAGCGGGCTGCTGCTGAGCCCTCTCTGCAGTCCTCAAAAATGCTGCGTTTGTTGTCAGTGCCTGGAAAATCTTTGCTGTGAGCAGTGGCTTTTTCTCTGAAATTTTGGACAGCTGGGGCTTGGACTCACAGGTCACAGGTGGTGTCTCCCCAAAATGATACATGTCACCTCCTTCTCCTTCCTTCCTCCAGGTCACCATGGAGTAACAAGTATGACCCTCCCTTGGAAGATGGGGCCATGCCTTCTGCTCGGCTGAGGAAGCTGGAGGTGGAAGCCAACAATGCCTTTGACCAGTATCGAGACCTGTGAGTTCCTTGCTCCTGGTGCCTTGAGCTCTCACGGTTTAATGAGCCCATCACAAATAAGAGAGGGGCCAGGCCCATAGATTCCCTGGAATCTGCTACTTGGCCTGCCTAGCTCTTTAAAATTCTCTGCACCCAGAGCAGATGCTGGGCACTAGTTTTCTAGCTGGGTCAGTGAGGAGATGGCTCAGTGGTAGAATGCTGTCATAAGTAGCCTTATCTGTGCATTGTTTCATGCCATGGTTCCTGATAACAGCAGGTGCTGTTGGACAGCACCAAGTGTGAGTAAGACACAGTGCCAGGAATTTCCAACATGTCACAAATCCCCACAAACATGATGGCTGTTTTAGTTCTCACTTTTCAGATGAAGAAATTAAGGCTCAGATAAAGGTGTTTGTCCCAGGCAAGAGGCAGAGCCAGGAATCAAACCCAAGCGTATCTTCAAAGACCCCTCTGTTCTTGTTCATACTGCATGTCTGACCCAGTTCTTACCTGATGCCCGGGGGTCCCAGCTTTCAGACCAGTCACCAGGGCAGGACGAGTCGAGGTCCTTAACACAGTGAAGCTGACGTTTTGCTGGCTCCTGAGTTGCTCCTCAGGAAGTGGTTTCGCTGGTTCTGGTTAGATCCCTACCTCTTCTTCCTTCTCCCATCCAGTCCTGCCTCCCACCCACCGCCAACAAGAGTGGCCACTTAATCTACCAGCCTTGCAAGGAAAAGCTCCAGAAAGGTTATTCTCCACAGTATTCTTTTTTAATCAACAGGATCACATTTTCTTATTTTTTTCTTTTCTTTTTTTCACATTTTCGCTTAAGTTCTATATTACATAGCGAAACTGTACAAACTCAGTCACCTAGAGAGGGATTGGCAGGCTTTTCTGTAAAAGACCAGGTAGTAAAAATGTTAAGCTCTGCAGGCTACATAAGTCCCTGCTGCTTTCTCTTTTCATTTTACATTACCTTTTAAAGGTGTAAAAATGATCTCCTGAGCCTAAGGTGGGTGGCATTGCACCCTGATCGAGGATATGGACAGGAAAAGAGTGAAACAGAGCCGCCGAGCCCCGAGCCTGAGCTGCCCTGGAGCGGAGCTGCTGGGGTCTCACTTGGCGTGGGAATTCCAGGTCTCCACTCCCAGTTGGAGTGCTCTTCCAGCTCAGCAGATGTGATGTCACACATTTAGTGAAGACTCTTTCAGAAGCTGGTTCGGGAGGAAAAGTGGCATCTCAGCCCGATACACAAATAACCCTACCACCTTTCAGCAGATGAATGGCATTGAGGGGCACAGCACGGCCAAATGCCGCACTGTTTTCAGAATGCACTACTGTGCATTTTACCTACATTACCTTGATCCTTTTGAGAACATCTGGGCAACATACTCTTGCCCATTTTTTACAGATGAAGAGACTGAGGCTCCAAGAGGCTAAATGACTCGCAGTAGGCTGCAGGAAGTAGAGGTGAAAAGCTAGGATTTAAATTCATATTTGTCTGAAGTTTCCACAGATTATTGCTCTTCACAGTTGCTCTTCAGTATTTGAAGAGCTTTTATACTAGAACTTTCCCCCGTGGTAGAAGAGTTACTACCTGGGACAAACACCTTTATCTGACTAGTTGGCAAGAAGCCAATCCAGTTACTAAGAATTGTCAAGCAGAATCAGTTTTATATTATAGTGATGATTTGATAATAAAACAACAGTGATGATAACAGCAGTTGCCAGCCGGTGACTGTGCAAGCACTGTGTTAACTGCCTCATGATGATCTTCATCTCATTTAACCTCCCAATAGCCTGTGAGAGAGGATTCTCCCTGTTTTACAAATGAGTTGACAGATTCAAGAGTTGAATAACTTGCCCAAGTTCACACAGCCAGTAAGTTGGGGGACTGGACTAGGAAGCCATCCTTATCTAACTCCAGAGTCCATTTTACTCTCCTGGCATTTGAGTGCTTGCTATGAGCCGGGTACTTGCTAAGTAGGGGGCCAGAGCTTGTCCACAGCTGGGTCCGACTGTACAGCACCTTCCTGGCAGATGTCCATTTTTCCAGTGACTTTAAAGTTTGTTTTTATTAATTAATTTATTATCTCAATATATACATATTTATTTATTTATTGAGTTTTTATAGAGAGTTAGAAACATCGATGAGAGAGAATCATCGATCAGCTGCCTTTTGCACACCCCTCACTGGAGATGTGCCCGCAACCAATGTACCTGCCCTTGACCGGAATCGAACTCCGGACCTTTCAGTCCGCAGGCTGACGCTCTATCCACTGAACCAAACCGGTTTCGGCGACTTTAAAGTCTTAATGGCTGCATTTCTGTGTGCCTACACTCTCCTCTGAGAGTGAGCTGACCTGCTGAGGGGACTAAAGAGGGTGACAGGTCAGCTTCCTGTACCCCCATGGGGTTAAATTGGACAAGCCAGACCCTGAGGTTCTGTGGCAGTGTGTGATGGTGGAATCCAGCCTGTAGGGTGTTGCTCTGTCCCCAGCAGTGTTGGTGTGCTGCTTCTGGGGGGTGGGAGGGGCGGTACAAGGCCTCTGAACAGCACCCACAGAGGGGGCAGGGAGGCCTGGTTCTCCCATGTGACAGCAGCCACTGGCCAATGGAGGGACGGTGGTTAGAGCTGTCACTGGGGACCCAAAATCATCAGTTTTAACACCCCTTCTCCCTCCCCTCCCTCCAGTGTTAGCAGTGTGCACTGGTGAGCGCTGTCCTGAGACCGAATGTCAGGAGCATTTCCCAGCTGGGCCACACATGAGCCAAACCATTTCTGGGCTGGAGTTGGTGATGGTCACGTTGGTGGCCATGGTGGGGCCCGGAGCCTGAGCTCATTTCCTCGTGGTTTTGGAGCAGACGAAGATAGCCAGGGGCTAGGGTGCCTGCCTCTGCCTTGAGCAACACAAGCTCGAGGGTGTTTTACTCTGGGCTTTCCAGGGGCCACACTGTTCCATGGCTGAAGGGCCAGTAGGTTGTGCCTTCTCTCTATCCTCATCCCGCCCCAGGAGAGCCTCATTTGTTTGCCCAGTGAATGAAGCCGCAGAGCTCTGACGTGGTTTGTCCATCTGTCTCCCTTTCACGTTGGCAGTGGGCTAGGCAGAGGTCACTCTGAGGGGAGGCATGCCGTCCCCCCAACCCCACGCCATGATGCTGCAGGAGGGGCCTGGAGATGGCCTGTTTCCTGGGCCTGGTGACAGGAGCCCAGGGCCTCGGGCAGCCCCACCTATGCCAGAAAGAAAAGGGAGCAATTGAAAAAGCTGTTTCCCGAGAACAGGGCTGGCACAGCATATGCCCAGGAGGGCGGATGAGTGGGGTTGCCCCACTCCAAACTGGAGCTTGGCCTGCGCCCACAGGGATTGAGGGATGTGAAGAGCAGACCTGTCCCCATGCTCTCTGGGTCTTGACAACCCAGGTGTTTCTGAATTCTTGAATCCCGATGAATGGCAGTTAGGACTGGGCTTATTCTCTGGCCCCTTGACCTCTCACCCCCTCAAATAGCTGAACGCTGCCAGACTCCAGCCACGTTGAGGCTCAGAGTCCTTGTGGTGAGTGCTGTGCTGTACTGTATTGTGCCTTCGGGAGACTTCTTGTCCTGGGTCCATTCTCCCTGTCCTGGGAGGCCCAACTGGGCTCAGCTCTCTCCTGCCCTCTCTGCCTCTCCTGTGCCTTAGAACTGAACGTGGGGGGATTTTTGCTGTCATCAGTAAATAGGCAGACACAGCTTCAGCCAGCACCGGCAGTGTATGTGCGCATGCGCACAGTGTTGACACAGCATCCTTGTTCCCTTTCCTCCTTGCCACATGTGGGCCATTAGCCCTGCTTCCTCCTGATGTTCTCCTTAAGAGGATGAGGGAAGTGGACCCAGTGAGCATGCAGAGATTTGGAGCTGAAACGCAGGGCAGTGTCTTGCTGGAGCTAGGCCAGCTCTTCCCAGGGGCGGGTGCTCCCTGACCCCACAGGCTTCTCTCCGCCATGAGCATCCTGGGGAAGGCCTTGGATCTGTCCTGGGCTCTGGGCCTTGCTCCCGGGCCTGTTAAGGCTCTGACTTTGCAGGGAATTAGAATTAATTGTCAGCACATGGAGTTGGTATGGTCTGGGAGGGGGGCCAGGGATGGATGGACTAGCAGGCTCTCCGGCTCTTAACTCCTCTGGGGATGTGGCACCCCCTCTTGCCTGCGCACAGCATTTCTCCATATGGAAAAATGTGCCAGCAGTCAGGGGCAGGACTCTTTCCCCAAGGTGGGCAGAGGTGAGTGGGGGCCCAGAGACACGAGCTGTGTGTCCTGCATGATCCCTTGAAGCCGTCCATTCCTTGTCGTCCTACTGCTCAGAGCTCTCTACTGCACCCTCAACCCCAACTTCCACCCCCTCCCACATTCATCCAGGTTTTTGTTTGCCATCATTAGTGGTAGAACGGATCCATGGTAGTAACCTCCCACCCCCTCCAGGAAGATAACTGTCAAGCAACTGTTAGCACTACCCAGACAGTCTGTTTTTGGATTGAAATAGTCAGTTTGCTGAGGACAGGCATGTTTTGCTGGGGCTGGGTGAGATCATTGTCTACTCTGAAGTCGTCTTGAGTTTCATCCCTTCCCTCCCCCTAATCTCTCCCATCCTGTTCCCCAACACCTAGGCTACTCTCGTTCTTCTCTATCAAGCCCCCATATGGCGTTCCACCTCTCATTCTTGGCCTGGCTCGGTCTAGGAAATGTCATTAGAACGCAGGCCTGGGTCGGTGGAGTAAGGGCACACTTGGGTGGCTGGGTCATGAGATCACTTCTTTCTTGGCAGAGGTGACTGCCTTTTTCAGGCCCAAGCCTAGGATAGCTCATCAGTTATAAAACCTCATCACTCGGCCAAAGTGACCCATCTTTCCTGAGAGAGACTTAGGCCTGGGGCCCTCGGCATGTGGTAGGCACTTGAAGCTGCCGAAGGAGCATCTCACTTGTGATGTGAGGCACCAGCCGGCTGCCACAAACCCCGAGGTCAGTGCTTTGATTTTTCAGGTTCCC